GCCCCTACTGAAATCCTCTCGCCGGCATCGGAGAGCGACTCCGAGGTCGAGGATGTTCAAAGGGAGCTCGAGAACCTGGAGCTCATGTCCGTTTCCGCCGAGGGCGAGACTGAGACCGCTTCTGCTGAAGACTTGGCGAAGGAATTGAGTGTGCTGCTTGATGAAGAGCTGGGAGAAGTTCGCATATCAGTGAAACTGATGCAGATGACGGAAATATGTGTGTGGTGCGGGATGGTCTATTTCGAGCAGTACCTTGATGGCTATGAGCGCTGCCGCCTGGACTCATGTTTTTCTGAGCAGTATCACTGCTCGTGCAGCGGTTGAACCGCTTGTGTGCGATGTCCATGGATCACACGCCGTAATTGCCCTACTACCCATGGATCACACGCCGTATAATTGCCCTACTACAACACTGTCCATTGTTCACTGTCACCTGTCCACTGAGACGAGTGACGGTGACAAAGCATCCATGAGACTGGCAAGTTTCCAGTTTTGCCAGACGGCAGGAAATTAACAGTTGGCACCAGCAACTTGCCGCAAGAGCCGGGGTTTTCAACATGCTCTTTGCGTCTGAGAAAAATGACCTGGGCAAGCCTGCTATTTCGCCATCATACCACAGTGGACAGTGCACAGTGAACAGTACAGTGGGTGTGGGTGAGGGCAAATAGGTGGGGAAAGGCGAATTAACCGATGGAGGTGTCGGTTAATTCGCGACCTTTTTAATTGTGGGGGAGGGATTCCGGGCTTGCTAGCTAGGATTCGGGGCTGTTGCTAGGGGCACTGCCAGTGACACTGTTTGCCCTGCAGGTGCTGGGATTCTACCTCAACGAGCTCAGACTCTGTCCACTGTCCACTGTCGCCAGCAACAGCAGCAGCAGCAGCAGCGCGCGCGCTGTGTGTGTGGTCGCGCGCGCTGTCACGCAGAAGCGCGCGCGCTGTTGCGCGCGCTGTCGTGTGGAAGCTGCACGGGCTGCTGTGATCAAGCACTTATGGGCGTGCGCGCGCTGTGCGCGCGCTGTGCGCGCGCTGTTGCGTGCACTGTCCTGTGTGTGCGCGCGCTGTCACGGTTTTTGTTTGCTGTTGGGGCTCCCTGATAGAACAAATATGCCAAGTTTCTGGAGCACGCAGTGCTTTGTGCTCAAGCCTTTAGACAGAGAGAATGTGGCATCAGCATCATGTTCTTCATAATCATGAACCATGTAGTCGCAAATTTAGGGCAGTAGCATTGCAAAAAACAGCTCATCCAACGTCCACTGTCCATTGTCTACTGTTGGGCAGTGGATGCACACTGTCCATTGTCCACTGTTGGTGGAGAATGGGCCGGAAGCAGAATGGAAAGCCCAAGAACCAACCTGACAGCAGGAAGATTGCCAAAAAACCTGCCAGCAAGCGGAGCGGCAGATCTGGTAAGTCGGGATGGGCAAAATGGAACCTAGAGGTGAAGGACAAGGCTGAAAAGGCCAAATTCCAAGAACAACAAGAGTCGCCACAAGCAGCCCCACAAGAATCAGAAGAAGACTCGCCCTTTTGTCATGTGGACGTCGAGGCTGCGGCTACAGATGATGTTGATGTATGTTCAACTCGAACGGTGAGTACACAAACACCACGTTGGATTCGCCGTGCTCAGCCGGCGAAAGATGAGAAGGACTCGTGTTGTTTTTTCTCAATTGTGTTGATCAGCCCTTGTGGTCGCAGGACCTTGAGAGAAGAGGACGAACCAGCATGGAGAATCACAGTCTGAGCCTGAGCGATGCTTTCAACAATGGGTTCCCATGCTAACCCGTATGAGCCAGGTCGGGCTCTCGATGGCTTTGGCGCCAATGAACTACTGGACTGCGGCCGGATGCTGTTTTGCCACTGACTGCTACTACACTACTACCACTACTACCACAACTACTACTGGTTTGCAAGCTGCGTGGATTGCACGCAGGCAACGTTCTTCTCTTCCGCCCTGTGAAGAGGAAGCTGGCAGAGCAGAACTGAGAGCAAAAAAAGCGCCATTGTTTTGCAACTGAGGTGTAGCTGCATCTTGGGTGGGGTCTTCCCTGTGCACAGGAGTAGTAATAGTAGTAGTAGCAGTAGTAGTAGTAGTAGTAGTAGTAGCGGCAGTAGCAGCAGTAGTAGTAGTAGTAGCGGTAGCAGTAGTAGCAGCAGTAGTAGGATTAGTAGGAGGAGGAGTAGTAGTGGTAGTGGAAGTAGTAGTAGTAGTAGTAGTAGTAGTAGTAGTAGTAGTAGCGGTAGTAGTGGTGGTAGACGTAGAACAATGGACGGTGGACAGTGTCGTGTATATTCCCTCTGGCAACAATATATTCACGACATCATTTTTGAGCTTGCCCTGCCCCACCCCCATTCCAATTTGCAATCTGTTTTCCGGCTGCTTGCTGCTCCTGCTTTTGCTGCTGTTGCTGTCCACTGTTCACTGTTCATGGTCTTCAATGCTCACTTTAAATCCTGCTTTCAATGCCCCTTTAAGGCTCCCAAAACGAAAAGGTCAGAAGGTTAGATACCAACGAACGGAAGGTCAGTTGCTTTGAACAGGGATTCTTGGCTGACGAGACCTTCGCCGAGCTGCTGGGCGTCAGGCTGCTGCGGCGTGCTGCTGGTGCGCTGGCGCGGCTGTGGGCCTTCTGAGCTCGTACCCAATAGACCGGCGAAGTCAAAAAAACAGGAAATAGTCAATAGTAAAAATTTTGACTTCGGTTCATTTTAACTTTCCCTTCGAAGTTACATCCGGGCGTAGAAAATAGTCACTTTGCGTGGCGTCAAAGTGACTTCGCGAAGCCAAAATGTTTACTATGAAGTAAACTCGGTGCAAAACTGCTAGAGGAAGTTTCGGGGAAGTTTCCTCTAATGTGCTTCTGAAACTGCTTCCAAACTGCGTCACCCTGAGTGGCAGTTTCAAGGGGCCGAAATAAAAACTTCCACTAAACTGCTCTTCATGTTTTTGCATTATTTCCGGCAACGAATATGGGTACTTACATGCAAAAAACAATTCAAGTGTAGATGGCAGACCGACACATACAGCAAAATCTCTGTAGCAGTTTCGGCCGGCCACAGAAGCAGTTTGGAAGCAGTTTCAGTAGCAGTTTCCCCTTCCCGAGTTTACTTCGAAGTCAAAATTTTGACTTCGAAGTAAACTCTGTTTTGACTTTGCGGGGGCGGCGTTTTAACTTCAAAGTAAATGCAAAAACAATAACTATTCACTTCGAAGTTAACTAACATAGTCACTTCGCGTTTTGACTCTTTTATAGAAATCTCCTTTTTTCTATAAAAAAGGGATTCGTTACTTTTCTGACTTCGCTGGTCTATTGGGTAAAACGTCGTCTACCACCGCTGGAGGAGGAGTGTGCAAGCCACCCGTAGTTCTGAGTACAAAGTAGCTTCAGGTCGTGTGCAGTTTGACATTCTCTTCCTCCGACCCTGTCTCTGACACTTCGCTTGGTACAGTGTGGTACTCTCTGTATGTGCGAGCTGAAAGCTTGACTTTCCTCTGAAGTTGTTCGCAACAACGTATCGTCGCAAAACGCTGGCGCAAATGCCGCGCAGTGAACTTTTCGAAGACGCTGGACTCAATCAAGATTTACATGGGCTGGAAGGTCTGTGTGTTGGCTATGAAGGTGGCAGTCCGCGTGCTTCCGTTCTGCATAAGAATCCCTCAATGCTGTGTTGGAAGCCTGTGCGCGAGTTAGAGCTTTTCAATGATTCGAACATGCTTGGTGATGGCGACGTTCATGCAGGACCTGAGTCTAATTGTAGCGACGTGTGCATACACCAGGTTCTTGCAGTATACTCATACAGGAATATGAATATATATATATATATATATATGTATATCTATATATATCACACTTGCAAGATTCGTACAGACACAGACTTGTACATATGCATGTGCATATACATACATATGCGCATATAGTACAAACACATAGTTACCTCTGCACGTGTACATACATGCATGCATACATACATCCCTCTCTCACACACACACACATCCGTACACGCATATACATAGACATGTACACTTTCAGTCTTACAATTACATACGCATGCATACACTGCACATACATGCGCATACATGCACATACATACACACATACATACATGCATGCATACACACATGCGCAATTAGAAAATATACATGCTAACAAAAGGCTGTAGATACAGACGGTGCATATGTTTCAAAATGTGTTCATGTTCGCATACATGCATATGTATTTCCGTACAAAGTCGGAGTTTTGCTGTGTTTGTATGTACATGTGCATCTCGACGCGTGTATGCACACCTTTGATGTTTAGGATTCAGGTTCTGGATTTTCCTGTGGGATGTCAGGGTGCCGGGTTGTACAGAAGGATTTGCAGGGCATTTTGGCACAAGGTATGGGGTTTGGGGGTTGATTTGCGATTTATGGATCGCAGGGTTTGTTGGTTCGAGAGGATGGGTCTTTGGGTTAGAAGTATGCATTCTGCTAGATGCTGGCTGGCGTTTCAGAGTGCTGCTTTTAAGGTTGCTGCTCCGATTCAGTTATGAGACTGAAAACAAGCCGGAAAGATTTGCGGGACCGCGCTCCTGCAGATTCTACTTCCCTTCCACACGATACCCGAAATTCAATCTTGGACCTTACGGGCAGGCCTGCGTCCAAAACACACTCGTGTGAGGCTTTACTCCAATTTGGTTCCAAGCTTGCTGATCGGTCATTCATGCGGGCTTAGGAATTGCAAGGTTGGTGTTTGTGAAATGGGCTCTAGGGGAGTCCGTGCTCACCTGGAAGCGAACCTGCAACGCTTCTACTGTTTAGCTCTGAGGCTGGACTTTCTGCCGAATGCCATCCATTTGGAAGGTGCTGACCAACGGGCTATACAGTAGTTTCTAGCAATAAAAAATAAGTGCAGCTAGGAAGGGCTGATGTGGTCGTGGTGAATCGATGACCGCTTGCAGTTGACGGCATTGGTTCAGCGCATTGGTTCAGCACTCGAGAGTTGGAGGCGTAGGGCTTGCAAAGGATGGGCGTTAGCATGAGGGTCGACACCCATCGGGCCTTGCTTTCGGTAGGCATTGGAGTCATTGGAGATGGTAGTTCAGATAGTGTTGGGTCTCAAAACTGCGACCTCGACGGGCTTTTTGGGCCATCCCTGGCAGATGCCGTGGTCGACACTGCTGCAGAAGGTCTGGAGGCCAGGGAGGGCTTTCAGAACCCTTCGCAAGTCCGCGTCTAAGCCGAGGTTAGAGTTAAGGGGATTGCCTCCTTGACGATTGTGTTGAACGGTGGCTTCCTGTATCAACACCATGTTTAGAAGTTTGCATTTCCTCGGTTGACTCTGGAAGCGAAGTACAGCAGTCGACCACCAGCCGATCTGTTTCTAGCCGAACCCGCCTCGCAAAAACGAGGGATCGGTCGCATACTAGTGATCCGGGTATGCCTGTTTTTGTAAAAAGCCAGCAGGCGCAATGTGTTTGTTGGTACTCCCCTCACAGTTGCCGTCTACAAGTGCCGAGCTCCAATTGCCTTACAGAACCGCAGTGCTTTCGTTAGCGAGGTGTCTGACCTGAACGAGGTGAACGAAGCCAACTTTCTTGCAGATGACTTGACAGATGAGGCGTCCAAGGCGCTCACGGCACCGGTGCTCGTAGCATTCGGGGAATCAGAGTCACCACACCGCATGCCAGAGATCATCACGATCAAGATAGACTCTCCGCCCTAAGGACGTGCGGAGGCGTAGAATGCCGTACGCTTCTCTCTTCGGGTTTGGTTTGAGTCCACTGCCGCATCAGCGATCGGTTACAGCTTTGGACAGATCACGAAGTAGGTAGCTTGCCCTGCTGAGAATGTGATACCGCGGCTGTGCCCCGAAAGTCCTGCACTCGATGCCACAAAAACAAATCACCCTGGATCAGACAAGGCCTCGGACCTCCACGACCCCCCAAAAACTCGCTAAACTACGGTGGGGCCATAAGGAACCTACCGGAAAGTAAACTTTACGAGCAGCACTGAAGGTCACAGGCTTTAGTATTGAAAAGTCATTCCTCTCTGCCGTCATCATGGTTGACCCATGGATGCTCCGGGACGAACGGACGCTGGCAACAGGAGACTAGTTTGTTCTTGAACTCATGAGGCTAGGGAAACGGTTGGAACTGAAGAAACAGTGTTACTTCCCAGCGTTTCTCAACCAATGTGGGCTGCACACTGCGCAACCTAGGGAGCACGAGTAGTGTTTGTAAGTAGCCAGTAGGTTTGTTGTGCCCCGCCTGGCCTTTCATATCCGAAGCCTCTCATTCACCAAAAACCCCTGGACCGAAAGCCCTTGAAGCCATAGGTCAAGGGCCGAAGTCGCGCGGCTTGGCCCGAGAGTCGCGAGGTTTCGAAGAAGTCGGCCAAGTCGCAGCCGCCCGGCATTAGGTTTTGAAGGGTCGCGGCCTAAGTAACTTGGGAAATTTGGTGGTTTAGAGTGTGATTGTGGTTTCGGGGCTGAGGGCGAAGTTTGTTCAGGAGTTTGCATTTAAATTCAGGTGTTTAGGGTTTCGGTTTAGGGATTTTCGGCTCAGCGATTCAGGATTGTTGGTTTTGGGTTTATTGGGTTTAGAGGTTGAATCTTTTTGCGTTTGTTTGTTGGCGGCGGGGGCTGCCCGCGTGAAGCTTGCAGGTGGTAAATCGCATGTCAATGTAATGAGGGTGCAGAATAGGGATCGTCCGGGTTGCGAAGTGCGGGTTTAGTGGAGGGCGTGGGGTGCATCCATGTCCGACTCCGATGCCCTGGTGCGGCTTGGAATCGCCTGTTCCAGCTTACGGGAAGGTAACGCTCTCCATGGTAGGTTTGTATAGAGTCATATACAGAGTGTGCAGACTCAGGGCCAACACCAACAGGACGGCCGAGAGCAGCAAGGACTCATGGGTGGGCGGTGGGTGGGTTTAGGCCCCGATTGCAGAAGCTGCCGCCAGGATGGCCGATCAGCTTGGTCCCAGGATTCCAGAATGCCGCCCTACCCCAGTGGCCGGAGGAAGTACCTGTCCTCCGTGGCTGCTTGTCTGCAAATGGTGATGCCCGTAGCATGGGCAGAATGCAGCGTCCCCTTTGAGACAGCTGTGCCGCCTTGCGTTGTGACCTTGAATGTTTCGGCCCGCCGACGGCAAACCAGCGGTAGGAAGCTGATTAGATTAGTTGTATGCTGAGCTGGCTTTGGGCAATGCTGTCATTCTTGCACGACACGGTTTGGACCTGGTTCCTCAAAACGCGCTTGGGACTGCTGGAAAGTGCTGGGACCCGGGGCGATGTCCTTTTGCATGTCACAGCCTCTTGGATGGTGTCCATGCTTTTGCTTTTCTTTGCTGAGAGTTCCAACATACTGTAGCTCTGAGAAGCATCGTTGCAAATGTTCGAACTTGTTCCTTCACGTACACACACCCAGGATTCTGAAGAGCAAGCTGGCAACTGGCAGTCCGTATTGTTGCCGCGGGAAGAGCTTCCTCCCAAGAAGCCAGGAACTGTCCGACTGGTGCTTGTCTCAGACACCCATGAAAGGCACGCTGGCATCTTACTACCCCCGTGCGATGCCGTGCTGCACAGCGGCGACATTCTTGCAAGCAGCCGCTGGGCGCCCCAGAGTCATGCTGAGGACGTCCTGACGGATTTTGGGAATTGGCTTCGTGCAACTAACTGCTCCTCTAGATTCGTCATTGCTGGCAACCATGACTACTGGATCGAACACCTCGGGCAGGAGGCGGTCCAAGAGCTGTTGGGAGATGGTGTGCAGTATCTTGAGTTTTCCTCCGGCTCTTTCACTGTGGATCTGGACCCCTCCACCAAAAGCCAAGTGGAGGTCTCGGTGTTCGGGGCACCAGTGTCAGCTGGCAGCAGCCCTAACCGCGCTTTTCAGCATGCGGAGGCACTGCAGCAGCTTGAAACCAGCTTGCCCAAGAAGTCGGATATCTTGATGACACACGGGCCGCTCCTCTCTGGATCTAGGAAGGGACTTCCTGCCATAGCCAAGGTGTTGGAACACTTGCAGCCGTCTTTGCACGTTTGCGGACACCTTCACTGGCGCTGGGGTGCCATCATTCCCATGTCGGAGCAAGTGCAGGCGACCGGGGTTTCCATAAATGCCTCTATTATGCGGAGTCTTGGAAAACTTCAGGGTCAACGCCCTCTCAACGCTCCAATTGTGTGTGACCTGCAGCTGCCAGACAAGCTTCCGAAGACCATGGCCAACAACACATGCAGCTAGGTCTCTATGGCCGTGCCGTTTTGCCCGATTGTTGATCTGCGATCTGTCTCTGGCCAAAGGCCACAGCAGTCGATGCTTCGAGCCCAAGGGCGAACTACCCCATGCAACACAATACGTAGCGATTTGGTTGGTGTTTTCAGATATTTCGGAGCTCAGACATGGAGCAGCTTCGGAGCTCTAGCTGCTTTATCCCAAGACTTGGGGTAGTTTCGTGTTCATGACCGCCTTCTGACAATCCAAAAGCTTCAACTCCCGAGAACGGTGCTCTGCACATTATCTGACCGGAGCTCACCCGGCCGTGTACAGGTGGCCTGACATGAAGAGCATGGCATAAAATCCAGCACAGGCATCACTGGGGATCGTTTTGAGGAGGTGATTTTTCGAGAGATGTGTAGCCATGCAGCCGCTAAGCCATTGCCACGTCTTCGGGTATGTTCCAATTTGCACATGTCTCCTTTCCGTCGCTGCACGACCGATCCGGCTGTCAGGATCTGGTTCATCCGCTGCAGGGATACGATGAGCTTTCCAGCACCAAACTCAAGCCAGACCCCTCGTCAGAAACGCCTCCGAGGATTTGTACCAAGCTCTTCAGGCCCCGGCCTGAGCTGTTGGGCCTGTCCAAAACTGCTTGGGCTGGCATCGCGCCTGAGAACTGCTTTCGCGACGGAGGCTCAACAGGGGGCCAGCTGGCCGGAGCGGACACTGGGCTGCACTGGCAGTGCTCGCTTATGGGCTTCCGGAATCTTCGGAGGGTAGTCCTTTGCTCGGTAGATGATTATTTGATCATATTTGGCAATCTAGCACGACAAGGCTATGGCCCAAGGCGTTGTTTCGGAACGCTGTGCGGGTCGTGGGCTAAGTTTAGTTTCAGGGGATTGCAGAGTGAATGCTTCGTGCAGTTTCTTGCCGCAAAGGATCGTCACGCACGACTACTTCGACTACGCCCCTGGTCTGTTCATAATTTGGTGGAAATGCTTAGACTTTCAGGCTTGGTTAACATTCCCGCAGTGAGGCAAAGCAGGCTGAGGAAGAAGAAAACCAGATATCCAACTCCCAGAACGCTGAGGTTATGGGCCTGATCTTGATGCTGAATGCCATCCTAGTTGGAATACAGGTTGTGCCTAGGATGCAGCACAGATCCAGCTTTTCAGCTCCCAGGGACAAGTCCGGGGTTCCGTTCTATCCGTTGCCTTGCACGACTTGGCCAAGAGTTCGCCTTCATTTGACGTCTGGGCGTTTTATTCGTACACATGTCGCATACTCCAACAACCTCTAGACACCTTCAGGCCGGTGGCCTTGAAGCCTCGGATGCTCCTGAAACCCATAGCTGGGAGACACCGGAAGCCCAGAATTTCGATCTTGAACCATAAGTTCCGTAGGTTTTCGATGCCACTCAGAACCTCGCACAATTCATTGCGAGGAGTCGACAGAGTCGAAATTCCTTCAACTTCCGCTGTGAACCGAAGCGACACTGCATTGAACCGGAGAACCACTTAGTTGCAGGACCCGAAGACCAATGCAAAGTTGACAAGTCAAGTCCACTGCTGCACCAGAAGCGCTATCCTTGTTTGGGACCTCAGGACGTGGCTTCGCAGCTACCCAGTCAGGAGCTCTGCGTCCCCAGGAACATTCGGCTAGGTCGTAATAAGGGTTTGATTAGCGGCTAGAGAAGGTGTAATGCGGGTCCATCTCCACATATGCCTCAGGGTTGAGGTTGAGATGTATACGCATGCTCTACTCAGGGATAGTCGCGGAGACCCGGCCTGCCTTCAGACGAGGGTTCGACCAAACTGTGACGTCAATGACACTCACCGCAGCGCCAACAAAGACGGCGGCTTCTATAGTAGTAGTACCGGCGCGCTACGAACCGACTGTCTACCGTTATTCTCATCAACAAGTAGCAGAAGCACCACTCAGAACGAGAAAAAATGCAGTGCTGACAGACGCATTCATGTCATTATCTTCGGCATCATCAAAGCAGCTTTAGCTCAAGGATGTTGTCAGGGCTTTCGGAATCCTCAAGGTGGTGCTTTGAGGATATGTGACTTGTTTGTAGCTTGTTTGGCTGATAATGTCTGAATGCGCAAGACCCGAAGTTTCCAAGAGTCAGGGTTAAAGTCAGGATAGAAAGCAGTGTTAATTCAGGTGGCCCTGATGGGAGCAAAGCCCGCGGAAAGATGCCGTAGGTCTTGCTGTGTAGGGCCAGAGGGCTGCACGGCTTCAAGTCCTACGTGCCCAACAGTGCACCACCCTAATCAGCTTTGCCCGAATGTAAGTGTCAGCCGATGCCCAACTCCAAACCCGAAACTGTCGTGAAGCCTTGCCTGCCTGGCATAGTGCCTGTCAAGTGAAAGTCGACACAACACTCTCAAATAGAACCTGCAATTCATAGGCATATGTATGTATGTACACACATAAGATAATGTATATGTAAATAAGGCGATCCGATCTGGTCTCGCGCTATCGCCGGGGCCTTTGGGGGGACGGGCGAGGGCGAGGAGGGTCAGGCTCAAAGGCCCGGCCCAGTGCAGCGAGAGAGGGGCAGAGTGACCTTGCTTTGTTTCAACTAGATGGTAGGTGAAATCTGCGATTTGTCGAAGCTCTCCAAGCGCTTGGGTGGTTGAGACGAGATTCCTGAGCTGCTCTACCGCTGAGGATATCATTTTCTGCTTAATCTTCGTGTTGGAGCTGGTACTGCGAGTGTCTGCATTTGGCCAGACCTTCCTGAACATGCGCCTTGCAGAAGCAAGTCTTCGGTGTTGAGGACTTGGGAGATTGAAAGTAAGGCTGATCTGTAACTTTGGAGACTGGCGTGAGGGTGGGGCCGTCACGCCAAAGCATGGCTGTTTGTGAGACGGGGCAGGTGAGAGGCCTGACCTTGCGAGGGCCACCATCTACGGCCTATTGCTATAGCTCCATTTCATACAGTTGCAAGCCCAATTCTCTGGACCCGAACGCTCACACTGAACATCAGGGAAGGTTGGCAATGGAATCTGTTTGACCTCCTCATTGTGGGCTTCAGCGTTGCCGACGAGGCGTGTGGCCTTTTGGCGCATTGTGCCTGGGTCTCGTCTCGGGACTCAAGCACATGAACGTAACTTAGGGACAATGGTGCAGCCATAGGCATGTCCTTGGCAGGACTATTGACATGAACGATGCCCTAGGCATCAAGCCCAAAGAAATGGCAAGCTGTCACTACTGGTACTATCATCTTCGGAAAATCGCCCCACCATATGGCAGAAGGACTTGTAGTTGTCATCGCCATCTGCTTCTGGACTGGCAGCATTGCCAGTAGTTCTGAACAACACTATCACTGCTGTCATTCTCATCATCGTCATTACTGCCACCACCCCGACCAATCCGTCACTTATTCTTTTTTCGGAGACAAGGCGAGGAGCCCATGGGGCCTGGTTCTTTCATGTTGAACCTTGCCGCCACCACCACCACCACCACCACCACCACCACCACCACCACCACCACCACCACCACCACCACCACCAATCGTCATAAACTTCACCGTCCTCACAATCACCATGTTTTTATGGCGGGCATCTGCAACATCACGTCACCACACCCGAGCAGCAGGAGGAGCAGGAGCAGGAGGAGGAGGAGGAGGAGGAGGAGTAGTAGTACGAGCCGCAGCTGGAGGAGGACGAGTAGGAGGAGGAGTAGTGGTGGTAGTAGTAGTCCTTGTAGTCGCAGAGTCGTTGTCGTAGCAATACTAACTAGTACTAGTACTAGTACCGGCACCCCCCTACAACTACGCTTGCTCTACACCACCTAAAGAGCAGATCCATTTACTCTGGTTGTCTCAGAATCCATTTCTCGACTTTGCAAACTTGAGCTTCCGATTTCGTAATGTTCGTGGGGGTTTCTGGGTGGGTGTTGGGGGGGGGGGGGGGGGGGCCATGACGACACGCTTGTGCGCACGTGCATTGTGCTCGTTATTTACAGTACTTTCGTAATGATGTACCACTTCTTGTTGCCTCAGATACCAACTTGTCGACTTTGCAAACTCGAGCTTCCAGAACCCTGGTTTGACAAGCGTAGTTGCCAGGTGGGAGGGGGAGTAGTAGTTGCAGTAGTTGTAGTAGTCGTCCTTCGCAGTCGCAGTAGTAGTAGTCGTCGTAGTAGTAGTAGTCGTCGTAGTCGTAGTAGTGGTCGTCGTCGTCGTCGTTGTAGTAGTAGTAGTAGTAGTGGTCGTCGTCGTCGTAGTCGTAGTAGTGGTCGTCGTCGTCGTCGTTGTAGTAGTAGTAGTAGTAGTGGTCGTCGTCGTCGTAGTCGTAGTAGTGGTCGTCGTCGTCGTCCTGGTCGTCGTCGTCGTCGTTGTCGTAGTAGTAGTAGTAGTAGTAGTACTACTACTACTACTACTACTAGTACTAGTAGTGGTAGTGGTAGTGGTAGTGGTAGTGGTAGTGGTAGAGGTAGTGCTAGTGGTAGTGGTAGTGGTAGTAGTGGTAGTAGTAGTAGTCGTCGTCGCAGTAGTAGTAGTAGTAGTAGTAGTAGTAGTAGTATTAGCAGTAGCAGTGGCAGTGGTAGTAGCAGTAGCAGTAGCAGTAGCAGTAGCAGTAGCAGTAGCAGTAGCAGTAGCAGTAGCAGTAGTAGTAGTAGTAGCAGCAGTAGTAGTAGTAGTACTACTACTAGTAGTACTAGTAGTACTAGTAGTACTAGTAGTACTAGTAGTTAGTAGTATTATATGACTATTGTTATTATTATTAGTGGTAGTAGTCTTCACCACCTCGTCTCAGACTCCAGGGCTCGCGGGCTGGTGTTAGTCGCATGTAGCGCAGTTTTCCTCAACCTCCAGTCTCGAAGGCCACAAAGCTTATCCTCAGCGATGGTGAGGTCCAGGAGGCGACGGATGGCTTGTTACAATGGCCCTACAATGCAACTCACGCAAGCCGCACACGTCTGGGCACAGACAGCAGGCGATTTGCGGCAATACGCAGATGTCAGAGAAGCTGCATGTTGTGTGAGTTGTCGCATAGCTTCTGTCGGTTGGCCGTGGTGAACTGCAAAGGCCATCCTGCAACAAGCCATGTTTTGCTTTCCGGTTGCACGGCTGTTGGATGTGTGAGCAAGCTCGCACCAGTCCAAGTATTGTGGAAACAGCTGAGGGAAGCTCCGGTGCGTTTTCTTCTGTCCCTACAGCTCGAGTTATAGATGCAACATGCCACATGAGTCCTGTCCTACCTATCGAGTACGCAGCTCGACAGAATCGGTCAGATTCCTGAAGCTTGCGTGGCCCTGGGAACTATTAGAAAGCTATGTTACCCCTACCAGATTAAGACTACTGGGGCTGGGGTGTTTGAATGGTAAACAGTGCAGACAGTAGCAAACAGTTCATGGCCGAGAGAGTTCAAGAGCAGAGCAAGCCGTGAATCGCCAGGTGTTTGACAGTTTCGGCGTGCTGCGCCTCTTGCGTGCCTTGGGCTTCAAGCAGAGATCTGTGGAGTTGGAGGCTTCGGGTGGAGTGCAGTTGTTTGTGACTGCAGTTGAAAGACTGCTATGTTCAGAGTGTTGTTGAAATGTATATCTGAGACTTCATGATTCATGCATGAAACCCCATAAAGCTACTAACGACCACATCCGTTTCGAAAGACGCGACAAACAGGAGCCAACAAATACATCCGTTGTAAGTGAGGAGTTCGGCGATAACTTCAATATGCCCTCATCTCCAATAGTGAAGTGGGAGGCCAAAATAAACCTAGCAGCCCAAGCCCTCAACTCTCGTGGAAAGGCTTCCTCATTCAACCTGTATAGGCCTTGAGCCGCTCCCTGAACCTTACCGTGCTACCAAAATCCTGGCCCAGACCCCGAAGCCTTCAGACTATGTGCAGACCTCATGAAAGCCCAATCCCCACACGAGGGCTCGGGCGCATCGTCCGCTTGGTGCGCATGGTACGGCTCATACCGGCCCTAAAATCAATGGTCTACCTCATCCTGGCGCCGGGCCTCTCAGTGAGGCTGTTGGGCTGGGAAGTTTGCTTGAAACCAGCTTTGGCTTTCAGTCTTTCTGGCCGAGGTCCCAGCCTGTAGACTGTTGTTTGGCTCGGCCTGGCATCAATCAGAGTCGGAACCTCCACTGGGTGCCCGAACTTGCCTAGTGGCCTAGTAGGGCCGGGGGCGTTTTTTCCTCAACGAGGCTTCCTTGCAGCTGTAAGCCAAAGACATTCGGGCCTTCTGAAAACCGCACGCCATTTTGGCTCCAACCGCCGAATCGGCGCATCGTGGAGCTTTGCAGCTCCGTGGCGTTAGTAGGATGCACACTCAAGATGAGTTTACTGTATAGTTCCTGAATTATTGTTGAAATATCCACGCTTCACAGCTCTCTTCCAGATGGAACCGGGCGAAGCGGCGGTGGCTGCAGTGGCAGCAGTGGCATCAGCAATAGAAGCAGCGGGAGCAGCAGCAACAAAAGAAGGCGAACGCCAAAGTCATGCAGATCCTGCTCAAGATGAGCCAGCGGCCCGGAATTCGAGATTATGTTTACGATGGTCATGTGCATGCCTTTCAGTGTAGCGCATGCAAACGTGCGGAGACAGGGTTTGTTCTTGTTTTGTCCCATGTCCCTTTATATGTCAGTGTGGCTTTTTGCAGCTGTTTTGGTGTGCCAAATCTTCCCCAACATCCCAGCAGCAACCCCTAACAGCCTGCAAGTGACGGAAGAGGCGCTTGGTGTCGGAGAGACGCCGGCTCGACCTTCAGCGTCACCCGCTCCAGATCCGACGAAGGCCTGAGTTCAACTACCAGACTTATATGGTTCTTGTGACAGACCAGCCACGAGCCGAGTCCAGGTCATGAGGAATGTTTTCCCGTGCTTGAAATTGCCTGAACGACTGGCCATGGCGAGAATATGCCGAAGTTGGTACCGAGTCCTCCCTCCTCGCGATGCAGAGATTTCACGGGCTGTGCAGGAGACTTGGTCAAATATGTGGCCTGCCGTGAATCCCCGGTTTCATCCTAAAGCTGCTGCATCGGCTAGAAACTGTCGTGTCGTGAATGTGTGAGGCACACGGATTGGCCTCCGTCATCGACAAGAACTGGTCTGTGCATTTCCGTCACAACGACTCACAGGGTTGGGACTCCATTTCCGTCCGACTCGAGTATCTTGGGCGATCTCCGTCGCTGAAGCAGAAATTCCGACCTCGCTTCGTGGGGATCTGCTTTGGGCGATTCCAGATTCCAGATCCATGGCGGAAGAAGGACCGCCTCGCGAGCAGCCATCAACACGAGCAGCTTCAGCAGGTCATGAAGAAGTACGGAATCAGAAAAGCTGACCAGGGAGAAGGGAAATTTGAGTTTCTGAAGGTCATCGTGGGACTCGATGTCTTAATCGACCACATCGATGATTAAATCAATACTCAGTACTGGCAACCTGGAGCATCATCTGCAACGGCGGCATCTTAACTTGCAGCTCCTTACGCCGTTGCAGATTTCGCTTCTGTTTCGGGGTCTGGAGGGACGGGGAGGCATAGGAATGGATGGCTAATGGATGCAACTGAATAGGTGAAGTTGGGAGATCCAAAGGGATGGGCATTCGTGGTGCACTGGTTAATTTATGTCTTGTTGTTAATGTATTTCGTTTGCTGTTTGTAGTGTCTTATGATGCAGACACGCACGGAGCCAAGTACAACCACAGAGACAGACACACGAAAACAAATGCGAATGCTGCTCAAACTTGGGTATTCCTGGTTCAGGCAAAGGGGAGTTGTCACTACACTGCTCGTCTACCTCACCTTGGTAAAGTACCTCCGCGCCTAAAGAAGTTAAGCGAGCTTACATGCCCATAGTACATACTACTATACTTGGCAGTCATGTGCCTCGACGCCCTCTGCGTTGTTTGCTCCTGGAAGAAGGGCCAATCGGCCAGTCAGCAGTACAGCGGCTGATTTCTGCCAGAAAAGTGCCCCCACGGTTCGGTTCAAAATCACAGGCTTAGCTCTAAGGAGAGGTGATGCTCCGAGGTCCTAGTCCTACGTGCTTCTTCACGGAAATGTCCCGCTCCTTTTCTTGTAAGGCGCATCGGTGAACAGAGCAGACCAGCTTCGCAGGGCCAAATTCCTAAACAGCATTTGGGCGACAGGCCGTCCAAAGGCTTGAGATGCAAACTGCGGGACTGCGGGATTTCCCTAACAAGAATCCGGCAAGGCTAAGTCTGCGGGGTTCCTTCATTCGGTGCCCAATCCTCAAGACTCTAGTGACTCTAGTGGCTGGGTGGCGGTAGTCCTGATGGAAGTTGGCCGAGGTCCCAGCCTGTAGACTGTTGTTTGGCTCGGCCTGGCATCTATCAGAGTCGGAACCTCCACTAGATTTCCGAACCTGCCTGGTAGGACCTGGGGCGTTTTTCCTCAACGTAGCTTCCTTGCAGCTGTAAGCCAAAGACATCGGCCTTCTGTGATGTGCACATTCTCAAATGAAACCGCAAGCCATTTTGGCTCCAACTGCCGAATCGGAGCTGCGCATCGTGGAGCTTTGCAGCTCCATGGTGGGCGCAGCACTTGTGGGATTCTTCCGAGGATGCAGGTTGAGGGTTTGAGGTGTTAAAGTAGGATGCATCACTCAAGAATCAGCCTGCTCCCAGTATGAGTTTACTGTACCGTTCCGGAATTATGGTTCAGATATCCACGCTTCACAGCTCTCTTCCAGATGGAACCGGGCGAAGCGGCGGTGGCTGCAGTGGCAGCAGTGGCATCAGCAATAGAAGCAGCGGGAGCAGCAGCAACAAAAGAAGGCGAACGCCAAAGTCATGCAGATCCTGCTCAAGATGAACCAGCGGCCCGGAATTCGAGATTATGTTTACGATGGTCATGTGCATGCCTTTCAGTGTAACGCATGCAAACGTGCGGAGACAGGGTTTGTTCTTGTTTTGTCCCATGTCCCTTTATATGTCAGTGTGGCTTTTTGCAGCTGTTTTGGTGTGCCAAATCTTCCCCAACATCCCAGCAGCAACCCCTAACAGCCTGCAAGTGACGGAAGAGGCGCTTGGTGTCGGAGAGACGCCGGCTCGACCTTCAGCGTCACCCGCTCCAGATCCGACGAAGGCCTGAGTTCAACTACCAGACTTATATGGTTCTTGTGACAGACCAGCCACGAGCCGAGTCCAGGTCATGAGGAATGTTTTCCCGTGCTTGAAATTGCCTGAACGACTGGCCATGGCGAGAATATGCCGAAGTTGGTACCGAGTCCTCCCTCCTCGCGATGCAGAGATTTCACGGGCTGCGCAGGAGACTTGGTAAGAGATTTGCTGCCCGTGGAGGAGGGAGGGAGAGCCAGAGAGAGAGCGAGACAGAGGCCACTCGACCTGAGGATGTCGCGGACTGTTGTCGGGGTAGGCCTGCGGGCCAGGGTCCTCCGGGGCCCAGACCCCTCAGCAAGCAAGCAAGCAAGCGAGACAGAGGGATTTGATCTGGTCTCGATCTGCTAACAGCCCCAGTTTTCATCCTAGAGCTAGGGTATCGGCCGGCAACTGAGGCAAACGGATTAGCATCCGTCATTGACAAAAACTGGTCGGTGCTTTTCCATCACGACGACCCATGTGGCTGGGACTCCGTCACCGTCACGCTGCAGTATCTTGGACGATCTGCGAAGCTCAGGGGGAAATTCACACGCAAGCCTGTGGGGATCTGCCTTGGAAGATGGCAGATCCCGAAGCAATGGCAGAAAGGCGATATGTATTCAGTCGGCTATCAACTAGAGCAGCTTCAGCAGGTCATGAAGAAGTATGGAATCAGAAGAGCTGACCAGGGAGAAGGGAAATTTGAGTTCCTGAAGGTCATGGTGGGACTCGATGTCTTAATCGACCACATCGATGATTAAATCAGTACTCAGTACTTGGCAACCTGCAGAATCATCTTCAACGTCGTCCTGTGCGCTGTTTGTTCTCTGAGAAATGCCATCAGCCAGTCAGCAGTACAGCGGCTGACTTCTGCGAGGGA